AACCGCCTTGAGCTCCCAGGAAAAATCGCGACTGTGAGCTGGTGCGGCCAAGAAACGCGATAAAATTGCGACAATGGCTGTGTTCCAAGTTACCATCCACGTCAGGCTTAGAGCAGAGGAGACAACTCACACAAAAGTCGGCCAGTCTCCTTTGCCTACCTTCCGGGCATGTAGACAAGGGAAAATATAACAGCTTATCAGCGCACTGGATTGTGAAATTCCCCCCTAGTCGCTATGAGCGTCTCAAGGTGGGGCTTTATTTGGCTCCCCCAAAACCTGCCCCTTTCTCGCTACCTATACCACTGAAGTCGAAAATATGGTAATTTATTCTTCGACCATGCGCCACGCTGATGCCTATTCCATTTCATCCCTGTGAGCTCCATGCATGTGTCACTGCCATCATCACATCATGAAAGTCATGCTATTCGATTGCTCCGAATATGTTCCTGCCGAGTATACGCCATCGCGAAAATCCGATAAAGTTGAATGCGCACCCTTTCGGATCGTTCTGCTCAAGCCAGATATTTGTATGAAGGCTTCGCTGGATCAGGCCCCCTTTCCAAGTATTCCTTCTCTATCAATGCCTCGATCTTCTTCTTGATCATATTCACATCGGGTTGGAATCGCGACGAGATTTGAGCCAGAGTCTCCGTCATAAGCTGGGAATGCGAGAGACTCTTCCGCGACTTCATGATCCGAACAATTGCTGCCTCGATGACGATCCCGCGCTCTTCCTCTGTCCGCTTCTGGGTCGCGCGGCGTTCTTCCTGGTTCTCAACCCTGTTGCCACCACCTCCAGCAACTACGCTCACTTTGATCTTGAGAAATTGGCTGGTGAAGTCTTCATTGAAAAAGAATCTGTCCAAGGGCTTGATATCTTTCGACACAGGTTCTTTCCGGAGAACTCTCCACCTGTTCACCAACGACAGCGATTGCAGGTTGCGGATGAGCTCAGGTTTGGGAATATTTGTCTCGGCTGCAATCTGCTCAAAAGTAAGACAATCCCCGGGTGGGAGATCATTGAAGAGCATGAGAATGACCATGGCGTAGGTCGAGACGTGGAGTTCATATCGTCGAGTCTTCCCGCCATTTGTGAAGGTAGCTCTCATGTCCGCGTCACCCAGCCCGGGCATCCATGTCAACTTTCTACCAGTATGCTTATCAAGGTAGAACTTCTGAAACCTCTGTCGTACCTGTTCAACCGGAGCTGGAAATTTGCACTCGTTTCTGGTACCGTCATCGTCGGATTTGCTGAGCGTTTCAAATGGCCAAATAGTAGTAGTCAAGACTCTGCAATCCAGCTCAACGCGTTTTGGATCGGGGTCGCCGAGTTGGTTGACGTATTCTCTGTATTTCATGTTGAGATCGTCCGACGTCTCTGTATCTCTAATCAGACCCTCCAACTTCTGGGTGAATTGGTTGCCAATCTTCATCTTCATCTTTGAAAGCATTTGGCGTTCCATTTCCCGACTGACGGACTTCTTCATCAGGAGGCGTTTGGCCATGTGTCTCTTATAGTACGTCTCGAACGTGTCTTTGTTCGCAAGGTACTGGAGAAGTAAGATACCGTTGTCGAGAATTGTGTCAACCTCAGCATCACTCTTGTCTTTTCCGCCCCGTTTGAGATATTCGTCGAGGAAAAGAGATAAATGCTCGGGGCTTCGCTCGTTGATATTGATGAAATCTTGGAATGCATTTTCCAGGCCTTTTTCCAGTATTGTATCTTTCTGGAACGCTTCGATCCAGAGCCTGTCGAGCTTCGCCTTTAGGGTTAGGATCTGCTCCGCCCACACGATGGCGGCCTGGGTCTGTTGGCTCAGCGCCTTCTCTTGTTGGATGCCTTTGCCGTCAGCGCCGGATTTCTGAGCGGATTTTGGAGTAGGCGCGGCATCGCCAATTACATTGGCAGCGTTGTTGATCTCCATTCCCAGCTCTATGACTCGTTTCTTGACCACATCCTTCAACGCAGTTTTCCGTGGATCCACTCTGGCAACAAGCTCGAAAACATTGGCAAGATCTTGAACCTTGTCATTGTCCAACATATTCCGCACTCCAGTACCCTCCATATTGATAACATCGCGAATATGTGCCGAAATTAGCTCCTTTTCGACCACAGCCTTGATTTTAGGTTCTGTAATTTGGGAGATAGTCTGCTGGCACCGCTCTTGTTCTTCGGCCAAACGTCTCGTTGCGTGCGTGCAAAATGTACTTGCGTCAGCCTCAACCAACAAAGTTTGACCTTCGGTGGCGTAGAATTCGCGGCTCGCTTGGAGGAATTTGGGTTCGAATGATGTGAGGTAGATTTTGCTAGGTTCGTCCTCGGTGAATGTTTCGTAGAGGCCCTCCAGCATGTAGCAACAGGCACGAACTAGCGGTCGATCAATTATTTCACCTTTGCGTTCCATCCTGATCATGTCAAGAAGAACGGTCTCTAATAGAGAGAGCACAGTGATCGTTGGGTCGTCATGCAAGGGAGTGTTGAGTACCTGGGTTCGAAACAGCGCCATCGAAGCTGCAAAAGTCGGGGGTCTCTTCTGCTCTTGAGCAAACATGCGATCCTGGCCGGGCTATAAGCATCGTATCAGTGCACCCGAGGACATCAAAGGAAACTCACCATATACATGAGAACATCGGTAATCATGCCGGTGCAGAGTTGATGGTCGGCAAAGGCGTCCTTGAGGGCTCTGATAAATCTCTCACCGGCCACTCTACTCTCCTCAGATTGAATGGTGGCATTTTGATCCAAGCGATCAGCCAAGAGAGCAGGCGTTATGAGCGAGTATATCTTCATTCGAACGTTATCCCGCAGCCATGTCTCTATTAGTTGTACCACTCTATCGTACAGCATATCCTGCTTTTTCTTCAAGACCAGTTTGTATGCATTGCGGAAGAGTTCTTCGAAGGAGAGCTTGCAAGCGTTTTTGGCGAATATCTCTTGGAAGGCGATGGATAGTGTGTTCCATGTTGAATCAAAGTCGACATCCTCTTTCGCCAGACCCTGGTCGCGGGGCACGTTAGCAATTGCCAGACACGAATACATTTTGAATGAGAGAGATGAGGCCAAGGGATTTTGGCAGGAACATTGCAAGATAGAGAGAGTCAATGTATGCCATTAAAGTGAGGCAGATGGATCAACAGGCGTCCGGCTGAGCGAACAAAGAAGGTAGAAGCAAACTTCTGCCGGACCAGGGTGTGAATTGATTTCAGAGCTGAGGAACGTACTCTTCTCGGGGCTCTGATCTTGGGGCCGCCTTTCTTAGCCAACATGATGGGCAGGACACATTGCCCGCACCAAGTCAGCACTCAACGTTGGGTCGTTTCCAAGAGGCTGAGTGGGTGTTGAGTCGAGGTGCAGTTCGTGGAGAAGCGTTTTGGGGAAGCGCCGTCGTGGGACGGGCACGGCAAAACGGGGTCTCAAGAGATGGTGGTCCGAACTCGTCCTCAATGTACACCAGCTCGAAGAAGAGGTCAAGAGGAAACGACAAAGAAAGGCCGCTCGTGTCGGTTGTCGTTTATTGACTTGGTGACTCGTCTTGACGCCACAGCTGGTGAAGGGCTGGCTGCAGGTTGCCGATCCAGTTCTGCCAGTACGAGGCCGCGCCGGCATCAATTCGGGGCGTAGACCGGATCGGAAAAACAAAAGACCCTTCTCGGAAGAAACCTTCGTCATCGGCGGAGTGCCTCAACTACCCAGTACTCCGTATTTCTTCTTCATCCACATCTCTCTTCAGAGGTTTCTGGCAGCATGCGATTAATATCACACACGGCCCAAAGGGCTGTCGGCAGCGGCTTCGCGTCCCAGTCAGTCAGGGGCTACTCCCGTCTGTCGTCGCTCGCGTCGAGAACTCCACAGGTTCGGCGACAACCATATTCGCCTAATCGTCCATTTGCACCTATCAAACGATACAACTCTTCATTGTCAGTACCCGGAGCAACACCACAGCCGGCAGAAGAACAAAATGAGCCTTCCTACGAACTGAGCTTCACCTGCAAACCCTGCCTCTACCGGTCGACCCATCGCATCACTAAGCATGGCTACCACCGCGGAACGGTTCTGGTGACCTGTCCGTCTTGCAAAGCCCGTCACGTTATCGCCGACCACCTCAAGATCTTTTTAGACAAGAGCTCAACACTTGAAGATATATTAAGGAAGAAAGCAGCGGCCGGCCAAGATTTCACCAAACTATTGAAAAAGGGAAGACTAGGCATCCGACCGGGCGAATTGGTGGGCAATGAAGGTGAAGAGGATCTTGAGTTCTGGGAGGATGGTACCGAATCTGTGCACACCCCGATCGAAGAAAAGCAGGCAGGCCAACAAGGTTGATGTCAAACTCGATTAAAGAGGCGCGGAACGCAACTGAGGAATCTCTAATCCCTCGCTACGCTTCACTTTTGACACCACGCAGCGCGGCAGTCTGCTTCACCTCTGCTCTTGCAATAGCTTTTCACGCTCCAATCAAGGGTTTGACCACGTTGAAGTCAATCTCGTCCAGTCATCAGACTCGGCGTGATGTCAAAGGTCCACCTCGAAATCAGGAAACCCCAACCGACATCCATCTCCTCTCCGCCACGCCGAGTTCTAATCAGCACTTGACTGACCAAGTGTCCAAAGAGCTGCCTGCTAGAGATCATATTGTGCCTCCCGTTATCCTCCGGTAACGAGAGGACTCACACCTGAAGACGTGGTTTGGCTACCAAATGATATGCAGGATATGGAGCGCTTGGAGATCTCTCTTCGCTCGGAACGGGACTGCTAGATCCGTTTGCAGAGGAGGCTCTCATAGAACCATGTACAAAATGTATGTATTAATATGGATCGAGGTATTAAGAATTGATACTTCTAATTTCGAACACTTGATAACTAGCATACCACTGACCGATGTTTTCCCCATACCAAACCCCGAAGTCTAGGGATCACCCTTTTTATGACCTTGACGTCAATGTATGTTGGTGCGCTAACGAACTGAAACTGTCCCGCTTGCTCTACAAGTGACTTTTCTCTAATACCCATTAAGAACAGTCTCCCTGACCAAATACACCCTCGCCTCCCAAGGGGTCAAATACGTGCCTACCTCTTCCTCTCCTTGTCTGAGATTACTGACCAACAACTCTTTCTTCGTTCCTTCCAAGCCATGCGGGTAATGCAACGGCTGGAGGTCGTCGGAGAAATTGAGAAAAACCAACAACTTGTGGTGCCCGTCCGGGTGGGCCTTGGTGAAGGTGAAGACGTCCTGGTCGAAGAAGTCCCAGACCTCGAAGTCGGTGCCGAAGACCATGAGCTCGGCGTGCTGCTTGCGCAGCGCGATCATCTTCTTCCAGAAGGCCAGGGGGGAGTGCGGGTCGCCGCGCTGCGCGGCGACGTTGACGGCCTCGTAGTCGTCGTGGACGCGGATCCAGGGCTTGCTGGTCGTGAAGCCCGCGTTGGCGGACGCGTCCCACTGCACGGGCAGGCGGGCGTTGTCCCTGCCGACCAGCTGGAGGCCCTTCATGGCCTTCTTCAGCCAGAGTGGGTCGTCCTTGTGGCGGGTCTTGACGTCGTTGTACGCGTTCAGCGAGTCGATGTCCCGTAGCTCTTCGACCCCCCAATGTTCCGGGTGGTTGTACATGCCGATCTCCTGGCCTTGGTAGAGGAACAGGGTGCCCGTGAGAGTGCACATCAGCACGGCCAGCATCTTAGCCGCCTTCTCTCGCCATTGCGGCTTGTCCGTGGCGAACCGCGACAGGCTGCGGCCTTGGTCGTGGTTCTCCAGAAACACCGTCGTCCAGGCATCCGTGCCGCGAATCAGATGCTGCACCTTTCGAATCGCCTCCTTGAACTGCGGTAAAGTGTGCCGGACAGTGTGGTGCTTTTTACCTCCGCCCCCGTTCGGGGTACCCAGCATAACTACGTCGAAGTCGAACACACAGCTCAGCTCTCTCGCCTCGGCGGATACGTATTTCAACACCTCTGCCGCGTCCGTGCATGGTAATTCCCCGACCACCAGGATGTCGCCGTATTTGTCGAGGACCTCTTGACGTTGCTCTCTCAGCCATTCATGCATGCGTGGGCCGTTGATGTAGTGGTCCTCCGCAGGCTGGAATTCTTCTCCATGAAGCCTCGTCGCCGCGTCGGGAAACAATATGTCCTTGGAGTATAAATTGCAGGCATCCACTCGAAATCCGTCGATGCCCTTGTCGAGCCAGAACTCAATGGCGGATTTGTAGATCGCTTTGCGGGTCTCCTCATTCTCCCAGTTCAAATCCGGCTGCTCCTTCACGAACAAGTGGAGGTAATACTGGTCTCGCTCTTCGCAGTACTCCCATGCACTGCCGCCGAAGATGGATCGCCAGTTGCTCGGTGGGTGTTTCTTGCCATTGATGATTTTCGGATCCCGCCAGACATACCAATCTGCGTAGTCGTTGATCTTGCTTTTGCGAGATTCCTGGAACCACGCGTGTTGATCACTCGTGTGGTTGATGACCAGGTCCAGAATCAGCTTCATCTCCCGGTCGTGGCACTCCTTGATCAACCGATCCATATCAGCGAGTGTCCCATAAGGAGGATAGACGTCCTCGTAGTTGGAAATGTCGTAGCCCATGTCCTTCTGCGGCGAGTCGTACATAGGTGACAGCCATATCGTCTCGACTCCGAGGTCTTTCAGGTACGGCAATGTGCTGATGATTCCCGGGATGTCGCCAATTCCGTCGCCGTTGGTGTCTTTGTATGAAGCGGGCCAAATTTGATAACAGGTGCTGGCTTTCCACCAATTCGGCTTTGACGCAGACATGTCCTTGTCAACGACTTCTAAAATGTGGGGCTCGATCGAACTTTCTTGAAATTAGATAGTATGGGGAGTGAAATAGAAAGAGAGAAATGCACGGAAAGTATCAATTCAGGACAGCGGGAGAGCAGACAGGATATAGGATGAAACGTCACTGGAAAGGGATTGCATTAAATACCTTTGAACAGCGGTTTAGACCATGAAGTACAACGGACCGCCTTCTCGATAAGTTATAGAGGCCCTAGGGGAGCTCTATCTCTGCGCAAAGTGGTGAGGTCACACTCACAGCGTAACCATCGAAGTTTTATTCGGAGAAACTCCAAGGGGCTTGAGGTTTTGGCGGTACATGTTGCAACCTCCCTGTACCTAGGTTACTCGAGAACGAAAAGCCTAATGGCCGTCGAGCTTGTCATTCACCCGCCTCTGACTTTCATGGTTGACTTTCATTTACCTTGCATCAAATTTCTTCATGTCAGCCGCGACATTACGTATTCGGGACTTTGTCGCCGGATCCTCCTCCGATTCGCCTTATCCCAGAACAGACTACAATGAACGGCATTGAAAGCGGTCGAACCGAAGCTCGGTTTGCCTACAAAGCTGCTGTATCATCCAGCGGTATGCAATCACCGAGGAATGAGCGCATGTGAAGCTTGGAACAGGAAACGCCTCATGAGTGACCCAATGATTGGTGAACATCTCATTCCTGCATCGGCAGTGTAATCTGACTCGATAGCTAACAGTGAGATCTGGGCCTGGTCCTGGTCCCCAGCACAACGTTGTTAATCTCTTCATCTAGGGGAACAATTCGACGACTCTTTGATGTCTTTAAGGCGGCGGCAGACCAGGACCAACTCCGGGATCTCTTTAATCTCTGCGACGCTGATGGTGATGGGTTTATATCTCCAGCAGAACTCTGCTCCGTCTTCAGAGCTATAGGCGAGGATGTGACAGATGATCTGAAAGCCATGATTCGAGGAGTTGATGAGGATGGTGGCGTGAAACTAAACTGTAAGGTCGTTGCTCTCTTTTTTCTGAGAATTTATTGGTTTCCCGTTTTATCTAGATGACCAGTTTCGGAGCTTGTTCGTAACACCCTGAAGACCCGCCATTTAGACTAGGCAAAGCAACACTAATGCCACATCGCTTCTTCTCAACCGGCCGGACGGGGTTTCAAAGGAGAGTAGGAGGAAGAATGGGTTCGCGGGTGGCACGACCGCAATGAGTTGCAAAGCCTCACGGAATGCTTCGAGACGGACACAGATACATCTCTGCTTCAGCCTCATTCTCAGACAGGGAAGATGAGGGCCCTTAGGGGCATAACGCACTGTCTAATTTTAGCCAAACATCAACACCCGCACCAACTCCGTCGCTTTTCGACTTCTTCCCAGCAGCCAACTTTGCTTGGAGTTGAGGGTGTTAGAGGCAGCCATGGCGGGCGACGGTCTGGCTCTAAGGATGAAATGCCAGAGAGTAGTGGTGTTGTCTCCGCAGCCTGAGTTGGAGCTTTGAACTACACTGCTCCTCCGTACGGCATCTACGGACCCCTTTGACTCTCAAGTTACGGACGCCAGCCAGCCAGGGCCTAGGGCGGAGATTCATCATTGCCGCCTAAGAGAGCACCACAGAAGCAGCGCATCCAAGCAGGGCGACTATATTAGAGAAGGGGCCCAGATGGGGATCCCGCAACATCTCAAACGGGTATAAAATTGACGGAAGATGGTGTTGTGGATGAAGAGAAAGTCCAAAAGGCTCTCGTAAAACTCCAGGAGCACTTAGGGAGCGATCAGGGATGGCTGAGGGATGGTCTAGGAAGCAGAAGGTGAGCCGAGTGCGAGCAAAGCGGCGAGCGGCTAATCAGAATGGGAACACTGACGACAAGTTTTTCGTTCGATATTACCTAGTTATCCTAGGCTGCCTCAAGTATAGCCGTTAACCAGCGCAGTAGCCTAGACGAAGAGGTGGGATTGGGAGATGGTCATACAGGGTACGATACAAGAGGCACGACAGGCGAAGCGAGAGATTCTCAGTGTAGTCTGTACCTGGAGGGATGGCGTGGGGGGAGATCAAGACGAATTTTCCGAGAGTTTTGCCGTTCAAAGGCAGGCAGCTCAAACAGCTTTTCGAGACCCGGAAGGCATTCTACTGCTGATGGGATGCTCCTATTTCAATGTCGGAATCTGTTCCTGACTTCGCGACTGTCGAAAGACTCTTGGCCAGAGAACCACAGAACTGCTCCCCTCGAAGATCAGGCCTTCTAATTGGACCTCCAGATCTATCTGTCAATGAGGTACTGTATTTTCCTCCAAGGGATCTTTCTCATCAACTCTTTATTGGTCTTCCAGCGCATAAAACACAACAAAAAGGAGACAATGCAGTGTCCACCGCGCACCATGCGAATAGAGCGCTAAAATTTGAGCCGATCCGACTGTGTGTATCAAGTACGAGCGTGCGGCAGGCGTTGACAATGTGGTATAAGGGCCAGGCGTAGCCAAACTGGAAGAGGCCTGGCGCTAAGGGGATCGCATAAAAGGAAGTGGAAATATTGGATATGGCCTAGAAGATGAGCCAGCTTGGATGAGTTGGTCAGCGCTGATGCTGGTGTAAAGGATGACGAGACGGCAACAGAGACTCACAGAGCAGTCCACAGCTGGCCAATGATCATAGTGATATTCTCACTGGCGAAATCTAATGCATACATTCCCACCCAGTCCAGCATCCAATACACCATAAATGTCGCATGCCCGTAAGCATCTGGAGCCTTTGTAATCGTGGTGCCGTCGTGTGGGTAATCATTGGAGAAGGGAATGAGGAAATTCAGTGCTAGCAGCGAGTAAGCCAGAGCCATCAATAAATAAGCAGTTGTCGTCATGAATAGATGCGAGAGAACTAGCTCCTAAAAATGCAGGGGTGGGTGGCCCTTTGGGACTAGAAACTTGGTATATACCGGCAGGAAAAAGGATAAGGAGGAGAATGCAATGCGGATCAGGAAGATGAGGCCGATCGTTACGGCCGGTGTGGTCCGTGCAGGCGCAAAGGGCCGAAGATCGAACAAGGAGAAATCAATTGCCGGCTTCAATGCTTGTGGCGCACGAGAGTATGTGGACGCGTCGAGCGATATGTTCAATAGGACATTCTGGATCCATTGTTCTTCAAACGTTGACACCATATTGATTTGAAATTCGAACAGTTGAGGGCCGATATAATCGCTGTGGGTTGTCTGGTATCGTGCCGCATTGACGATTATCTGGCAGGCACCAAGGGGAGAGTAGCTAGAGTTTGCTGTCATGACAGCTTGTTGGAGAAGCGCCGTTGCGTTAGCATTGACAATAATGGCGGCCCAGGCTTATTCATTGTAGACGGGCTTGTCTCACGGCGAGCGGGTTGCCACGATATTTATCCGGAGATTCGACCCTGTATCCCAGTGTATAAACAGGGAGCACGGCCTGTTCCCACCAGCTGTTCAACAACTTGTCCGATTAGAGGTGGTGTTCCTTCAAAGGGCGGAATCCGACCATTAAAGCTGACCACGGCCACGGTCAGAGCCGACAGGTTCCGCAGTACATAGAATAGAACGGCCCAGTGGAGCGAAAGGGCACAAATAATGAACTAGAAGAGTATCAGGGCTGTGAGGGACCATTTCTTCGCGAATTCCTTGCCTACGGCCTTGAGTGATGGGTCGAAGAGGCCGACTGGCAAAGGAGGGGTTTCTGGTTCTCGTCCTTCTCGTGCGTAGAACCGTCGTTTTCATTCTTTGGTAGTTCGTCTCCCTGTGCATGTTTTGATTGCAGAGTATGGTCCGAGCTGTTTCCTTTAACGTTTCAGATTGCGCGGAGGCCCATTAACCAGAGGACATGGACCAAATTCGACAACTCTTAAGCATAGAGACAGGGGCACTAGGGATTCGCTTGGAAGGGAAAAGTCGTGCCGTTTGTGGATGTTCTCGGCATAATGTCATGTTGCCAATATATCAGAGCCACGTTATTCCACAGCAGATGCCCTGCCACTTCAGACAGACCCGGGGACACTGCTGACATTTAAGTTGCGAACACGGTGCGTTCAACGAAGCAGTTCTAAGAGTCGATGCCACTGGTGAAAATGTTGGCAGTGAGCTGTGGTTCGTTGATACAGAAGACGCGGCTCTCCCGGAACAACAATATTCCGGATCCAGCGGGGTAGTGCGAGAGACAAATACCACTCTACTCTTTTGACTCTCCACCCTAAATCCAGTCCTTCATCATCCCTGTGTAGTACCACCGGTGGATGACTACTTGCTATGGGCACTTCTGATCATCAGAGAGGGGCGTGGTGATCAAGCCAAAGTCTCGTCCGGTCTCTACTGCGCCGAGTCCAACCGGGAATCGGATCTGAAATCCCCATGCGCCGTACGGCTCCCTCTCTCGACCTACCACTGACAATTTGCTGTCACCAGTAGAATCTACCGACTTAACCAGTGGAAACATGAGACCACCAAAGGTCCGGAAGGAACCCCTAGCCTTGACCAAGATGGAGACAAAGCGGAGTTTAGGCAAAAAGCCAACTCAACAGATACGTTTCGCAGTATTGCTATTGATTTAGGAGTTGCAGTATGCTATCCATTGGCTGGCGAAATTATACACAAATCCTAGCATGGGGCCCCGACTTATGCATTAATCACCCCTGCCATTCCAAGGAAAGTGTCATGGCCTATTCGGGGATCTTTGAATCTTACAGGGGTATCACGCTGGCCATTCATTCATAGATTGAGTTGCGATCGACGCGTGTCCTGCAAAATGACCACTGGAGAATTTCTGTCTGCAGATGAAGTTGTACAGAGCATCTGTTTATATGAACGGTGAATTCGAAAGAAATCTCTCTAATAAAAGACCAAAACGTTGTTCCTGAGAGTGTCGGCAGTTCCACTTCTAGTGAGCAACTCTTCATGGGCTCGAAGCATTGTACGAAGCCCACACAAGAGGCAGTCCCTTGAATCCATCAATGCTACCCGATACAACAGCACTACCGGACCCGTTGAAGTCAGGATCTCTCTTACTGGCTGCGGCGGAACCAAACAGCGCCCCTTCTTTATGGCTGGTGAGACCTGTTACTACTTACGGCTTTGTGTAGCGCGGACGAGAAAGGATGCATGAGGATATCTCTCATTCTGGGAATGGCGGCATCTATGGCGAAGCCCTGCTCGACCGTGCCCTACAAGGCTCCAGCGCCATTACAGGATCGTCTGCTGGGATCCCTGGAAACACCGTTCTAGCGGCAGAAAATCTCATTCTTCCATGGGGCCCAATCACAACGGTTTGGAGGGGGGTAGGTGATGTCAGTATGAGCTTGGCCTTACTACATCACCTATCCGATGCGCTTCCTGTTGCTCTGGAGCTCGATATTCCCTTCAATGCAACTGGTGAAGTGAGCATCTTGAATGAGGGTTTTGGAGGTAGGTATAGATGTGCGACTAGGCACCTACAATGCCTCGTTCTACATCAAAGCGAACAAAGTGCGAAACAAGGCCACATTCGCCCATATAGATATCTCACTACGCTCCAACCTAATGTCCGATGTCTAGAGCACATCAACCATTCGGTTCAACCCAGGCAACAATATCTCGAGTTTTGAATATACGCAGTATGCCATACAGCTTACCAATGCCGCCAAGGCCCCCAATTCTAGCAATACATTTGCCATCACGTTTGACGCCGCGGAGGTTGCGGGCAATCCGTACTACCTCTTCTTGGTGAGTATCTTCCCAGAAACCTTCAACGACCGCGCCAACGGCATTCGACGTTATGTAGGCTCAAAGGTTCTTCGCTTCCCTAGAGGTAATAATCTCGAAGGCCTGAGTGTTGACCGGCATTGGAAATGGAACGAAACAATTGGACCCTTGAAAGATCGCAAAGGCCATTGGAAACTGGGGATATGTGAATACTAATGGTCTGGGGCTGTTGGAGTACCTGCAACTCTGCGAGGATGGCGGTATTAAGCCTGTCCTTGCCGTGTACGCCGGCTTTTCTCTGGATATATGGGCCAAGACGGCGTCTCCTTTCTGGAGGACCGTATGGGGGACGTGCTCGGGGACATCCTCAACGAACTCGAATACGTCACTAGAGACAGGGATACGCCATATGGCGTTCTACGTGCTTCTCATAGTCGCGCTGAACCATTCAAATTCAACTATATCGAGATCGGAAATGAAGATTGGTTCAGTTTAACACTATCCCTATTGATGGGACTGTCTCTCTACAGTGGCATCAAGGCTGTCTATCCCGATCTCACATTGATTTCCACCGGCTTTAATGAGAATCCCGTCTACAATATCACGCTGCCTCCGGGCTCGATGTTGGACACACACCACTACGAAAAAGCATCCTTTCCGTCGAGGGCTTCAACTTCTATGACAACTGGCAAGAGCGCACAGGCAATCAGAACGTCAGCGTATTCGTCGGCGAGTACTCGATCTATCAGATTGACATCCCGTCCGGATATGTCAACTACTCCCGGCCCCCCGACATATACATCTTCTACCCAACACTAGTGGCTGCGATTGCAGAGGGCGTGTATCCGCTCGATGCGGAACGCAACCAAAAGGTTGCGAAGATGAGTGCCAATGCTCCGAGCTTTGTAAGCCTTAATTACAAAGAGTGGACTCCAAATCTAGTGACTTTCTAAATGGAACGATCATTGTAAGTGAATCTCGAATGTGTTTCTGACCAGATCACTTCTTTACTTGCTCGACCTCAGTTGATTCGGCCGTTTTGTCTCATAGTCGTCCATAGGACTGTCATGCGCTTTTAACTGACAAAAATGACCTCTGAAGACATCGTCCAAACTCCAAACGGTGTCCCGTCGTGCTGTTCCCTCATGGTTGATCAACATTCTATTATCTTGTTTGGTGGAGACTATTCTCAAGCTGTACTTTTGAAATAATACCAACATCGTCAAGCGGAGATAAGTCAGGATGGGAGGTGACGAGAGACTATCTCTTATGCAAGTCGTGGAGAATACAGCATTGAAGATACAGGTATCATGTCTAACGTAGTCCTTATGCTTAACTATTCCGGTTGTGTAGCATAATCGAGGTCAGACTTCAAAGGAACTACAATTTCCTCTTGCATCCGCCGAGCATGCAAGGAGATGGGGAATAGAGTCAAGATGGACTAGCCCTGGCGGCTATTCACTACAGCGATTGATATCGACGTATATACGAGGTAATCACACCGTGGCTGAGGCTACCAAGGCTGTGAGTCTCTGACCCATCTAGCTGTTACAGATTGGGCCTAAAAGGGCAAGGTGAAGAAAGGCAACCAGTGAACGCCTTTATCTGCAATATTGTTCCTGCTGACTGGTTGCTGCCTGCGTACTCGACATATATAAATCTTGGGACTTCAAACTTATTTTCTGCCTCTATTTCTCTCTTTCTTCGCTTGTCACAGAATATGCTTGACCAATTCCCAGCGGAGATCTTGGCGCAGGTCCTCTCCGTCCTGGAGCGGACCGACCTGCAGGCTGTTCGCCTAGTAAGCAGGGCCTTGTCGAACAATGTTACCCCTGTCTTGTTTCGAACCGTCTATGCTTCATGCCTCACCCTGGATCGGCTTCAGAATATCTGTCGTCACCCCACACTCCACCACGCTGTCGAAGAGCTTCAGTATCAGGAGATGAACTTTGACCTCATTATCGATGATCGACGCTCCTGGGACAACCAAGATCCGCCGTTCTTCAGACATAGGAGAATGGAGTACTTGGCCGGGACGATTGCCCAGTCAATTGCTGGCGTAGACCCCGAGCTACCAATCTTCGCAGAAAGAATGCTGGCGACGGGTCGACTAGGTGATAGAGCGATGCTTGACTCGGAGCAGCGGCCTAGCCAAGACGAGATTCTAGCCATGCTCGATGCCGTCAGGGATTTGTATGCTGAAAAGGCTAGCTTACAAAACCCTCAGCGCCTCTATGAATTCTTCCGCGAAGCATTACCGTCCCTCCAAAATCTTCATCGCGTCGTCTGTGTCGAAGCCGAAGCCGGTTGCAGGGCATTGGATTCTCCGCGATTGGAATGCACAGGTGCTCTTCAGCAACTAAGAAAGTTTTTTCCTATGCCAGATTATGCCCTCAGGTTGTGCCTCCAACCAGACACGCGAGACTGGCCGTCACATGGATTCATGGGCATCTGGCGCGCTCTGAGCGACCTTGATTCAAGCTTGGATATACGACATCTTGAGATCGGGCGAGACAGAAATCTCTTTCTTAAGCGCGGCATATATATCCGGTCGCTGGGTCCCCAAAATGATGATGTGCTTGTTTACGGGTTTCGAAACCTGACCGTACTTAGTCTCTGCCTCGAAGTGGATACGGGTGCATTGTCGGGAGCAATCCCTCAGGCAGCCATACTGGCTGGAGCGTTGGCCAGAGCATCGAAACTGAGGCGTCTAGAGATTTGTTTAACGTCATCCGGGGTTAGGATCGCTCCTGCGAACAGGTCAGCAGCGAGTTACAGTCAGTTCGGCATTCCTTTCGGCGACCTGGATATTCCACGGGAAAACATATTGCCTTTTGTCACCTTTCCGGACCTTCACACGGTTATCTTTGAGGAGATCGATTTCACGATCGAACAGATATGTTCTTGGGTATCCATGCAACCAAGGCTGAGGCACCTTACTCTGAGAAGACCATATCTGCGAGGACGGTGGCAGGATCTGGTACAAAAGTGGTGGGAAACTCCAGAATTTCGGCTTGATTCCTTCGAGTTAAACAGCCCTTGGGACTATGATAACAAAGACCTTGAAGAGAATCCACTGCAACTAGACACAGAACAACAAGTGCCATCTCGTGTTCCAAGCAATGCTATTCTTGACTTTATTAACAATGGTGGAATCAACCCCTTTGAAGCCCGGAGCTGGAGGAAGTCATGGTATATCTCAGAGGATAGACGGGATGATGTTGAGGATGACCACCTATCGAACTATTCAGATCTCTCCGAATGGTTTCCTGCAGATCATCCTACGCCTGTTGAGGACCCAGATGGTCCTGAGTTTGACGAAGACTATGATTTTGACGCCGAAGAAGACAGCGACTTGGAGATGGAGGAGTCCGGTCCAGCAGAGTTCTTGTAGGATTTTGACTGGGCTTGTCTAGATGTACAGTGTTGACATAGATAGCGCTGGTGAGCGGCAGTTTTGACGAAAAGAACTAGGTGACCGTGCTCCAAAACTTCAGCCTTGTTTGGTTTGATTAGTACAGCCTTGTCTCGTTTAGCCTCGGCTGTTATGGGACAGCGTTCAACCTCTGTCTGATCCATCCTCATTCGCAGTCTTCGCACATAGTTCTCAATGTTTTCGTGGAAATAAACTTCAGCAGGCCATGGACAGGTCGCTCGCGACCTTATTGAGGTCTCTACAGACGTCAGAGCATCCAGATGATGCCGCCCGGTAGGTGAGAGCGCGCCTTGATCAGCTGGTCTTGCTAAGTGATTTCAGATTGCTACCAACGGCAACTAGCCTCCTGTCGCGCCTTTCGAACCCTCTCAATATAACGCTGTTGACATCACAGTTACTGTCGAACGATGTGCTCTATTTGGTGCCAACAGAAGTCGCCCGATGTCGGCAGATATTCAGCGTTTTTTACACCGCAGTGCTGCGCTTGATTGAAGATAAACATAGCCCGACGCGGGAACATACGAGCAGCCAACTCACAGTCACAGAATGGACGATGGCTGTTGTGCACGGGGCAAACGGCAAGTCCCCTCGATGGAGGCATACGTTATTGCTTGGGGCGCTGCTCCTAGCTTTCCAGTCGAAGGACTTTGAAGGACTAGCTTCAGGCCTAAGGGACAAACTCGAGGGAGCGCTGGTGGTCGCGTCAAATCTGGCTCTGCAGCAGAAAGACGCCGAGCCTAATTGCGAACTGGCTGTTGTCTTTGTGTTGAACCACACCTTCCCAATCCTCTCCGATGCCCACCAGGGACAAGTCAGTTACGATCTGCTGCTGCCGATATTGGTCGATGTGACATACTTCTCTCGGGAGGGTCTTGAGCACGGGTATTGGCTCGGGGTCATTGACTATGACGTCCGGCCCTCTCCCGAGCAGAAGTTCAACTGGACATCGAATTCCACGTCTTTCCGCAAAGTCACTGAGATCAAATCAAGAAACCTAGTATCTGCACTTGGCGCTTTGTCGCGCTTGATTGCTCACAGCATTGAGAACGTCCATGACAGATCCCTGATCGTCTACAGCATGAACAGGGTAGCTGAGTTTTCACGGACTCTTGCCACCTCATGGAGACAGAACAAGTTGTCCGAAGTCGACACTAGGGAAGAAGCTCAATGTTTGGACCAGGAAACTATCAACAAGACCTTCCCTGTTCTCCTACAGGTTCTTAGAGACACCATGTTCTCCGTGGTCATCAGTCTCCGATCTGTGCTGGGAAGGCTCCTCTGCGACAGGTTCTTAGCTTCTGACTCGAATTCCCCAGGAATAGCCATGCAATGCTTGCACATTTTGCGTGATACATACTTCATAGCACATCGATTTGGCCTCACATCATCCTCTCAGTACGTATTCGTCAACTTTACAGCGATCGATATTCTGAGTCAATACATGTTGCAATCGGAGAATTTCATGGAATCAATCCGACCAGCTGATCTTGGTCGGATTTCTCCTCATCCCCTCGACAGACTCCAGGATCTCTTCTTCCTCAACACTGCCGAACATTTCACCTTGACACTGTCTCCACAAACCAACCGAGAACTTCTCTTCAATGCGGCTGCGCCGTATGTTGATCCACAAGGAGATCCACGGTTGGGAGAGATCTATGAAGCTGCTCACAGTGTTATGCTGGCCATCCTTGCTGCTCCCCAGAATGCAGAGCTTGCGATGACAATGGTTCCATTTTACGTCGAAACACTGCTCCAAAGCTTTCCAAAGCCACTGACGCCGCGTCAGTTCCGATTAGCGATTAAATCTATTGTTCGTCTTGCAGCACCACCGTCTGCGATTGCGGTCTCTATGCCCCTTACGCAAGCCGTTGTTCTTGATCTACTCAGAGAACGGATGGACCACGCGTCAGAGGATTTACTTCCTCCTAACCCAGATCTTCCCATAGAGAACAGTCAACCTCTGTCTGAAAAGGCTGTTTTACTTCTTACCATTATTGATTGTTTGAGCTTCCTGCCGGTTCTATTATTGGAAGATTGGCTTCCTTTGACTGCAGAACTCTTGCACAAGGTTGGAAATCCCAGTCAAAGAAAACAATGCCAACAACGACTTTGGGACACGCTGAGCAATGGAGAGATGGATGTTGAGCGTGCTGCAACTTGCGTTGCTTGGTGGACTTCTAGAGGAGGCCGCGAGCACGTCTTGTTTGGAGAACAGCCGGAAGACCAAGATTACACCATGAGTGGTGCGTTGAAGTTCGACAATAAGCTCTGAGGCGTCGGCATCGGATCGATCGACCTTTCTTACCACAATGCCAGTTGTTTGTCAACGTCTCTAGCTCCCAAAGTGCTTGGGCTCCCCGTTGAACAAAGCACCAGAGCTTGACATCTGAGAGGGTTTGCTCCTGGTGAATGCGGTTCACAAAGCCCGGTTCCATTGCGGCAATAAATCTGGCCACAAATATGCTTCCCCATACTCAGAACTCCATCAACCATCCGTTTCAACATCTTCTCTGGCCTCTTGTGCAGGGCTGTCCACGAACTGGTTAAGATTCTTCTCACAATGGTTTCAATCAGGCGCACCAAGAACTTTGCGAATGACCCTCAGACCCCAGTGTTTCTTTACACGATACTCAAGCAACTGGACCTCAGATCAGTCAACTGGAATCAAGTTGCAGACAGTCTCGGAATATCCAATGGCCACGCAGCTCGAATGAGGTATAGCCGAATGAGATCGCAGTTTGAAGATGTAGTCAACAACCAGCCCAAACCAGTAAAGCCGAGGAAAGAAAACACTAACACGGGCGAAAACAAGTCTTGCAAGAGCAAACCAAGGAACAAGCGCCTTCTTGAGCCAGAAGAAAATGAGCAACTGGCCAGCCAGCGAGCCGCTTGTCAACATGTCATGCAACCAGATCATGACCCCAAAAGAATCAAGTTCGAGCCACAGTCATACATGCAGCCATGGTATCCCACGTACCCTGCAGATCCGGCGCAAATGTACCCAGGCTCATTTTGGGGTCAGCCAACCATCTCACTGAAACCAGTGCCAGGAGCGGCGTTTGCAAATTCTGGACTTCCTGAGCAGAAAGTCGCGCCTACACCTGCTATCAAGACAGAGCCCCATACGACTTCAACAGCTTGCAACAATGTAGAGACGCCAACTCTGACCATCAAGCAGGAGCCCCAGGAACCTGTATGCGAATGCGAGGGAGCTGATGTCGGTGCCACAATTGTGAAGGAACCAGGGACAACTGTGGAAGACCAGGCATTGGCGAATGCTGTAGGTCGCGACAGTGTTTCACCCAGCTATCCCTTGTCTCGGATCATCAATACCTTCTTCGGGCCCCGGCAAACTCCATCGGGCCCAGCACAGGCGCCGTCGCTCCCTGCCAACATGGCTCTATATGCAACCACACAGGCATCCTCGCGTGGCTCCTATCTGCCATTGGGTGGTCACAATCAGAGCCAGAATGCATTGCCATGGTCGGCACTTGGTCCAGGCCAAAACTCACTTACGTTGTCGACAGATGACACCTCCGACATGATGATCCTGAACCCATATGCCACCTCATACCAAGACATGCTGAACATGCCGTTGTACAGACTACATCCCGAGACATGCGCTTTACAGACGCCAAACGCAAAGAATCAGCATATTACAATTCAGCCTGGTGTGACTGAGGAACGAACTGTCGAACAGAAGCAGCAGAATCATAGCGTTCGTCTACCATCCTTTACCTGGACAGCAACAACACCATCACCGCTACCGGCAAGTCTAACCACAAAGAACAGCAATGGAGGAGATAGCACGAGAACGTCTATCACCCCGTCGGGATCCTCCATCGCGTCCAGCGAATTAGGCCAGCAGAAAGGCACCAGTGGTCAGCTACCGGCTATTTCAACTATCATCGAAGTGGACTCAGAGGGTGCAGGCGAGGCGGAGGCTTGTTCGACGAATGCAGTTGATGGCGTGACAGGACCCAAGATCAAGAAGGAGCCGGTGGGGTTGTAAGAGTTGGTGAGACTTTGCAGAACGGGATCTTTCTGAGTAGCATCACTCATATGCAGGGCTCTTGAGGAGGATTTCTGGTATGTGAATGCCATTGGGATTTGGATTGAATTCTGTTTACCGGGGAGATGGAGAGAGATGGGTCTCGGAATACATGTCACTTTCAGATAGATCCTTCCTCAATCAATGACCAACCATCTATGGAGATTTCGCGCCGCCCGCCGTCTTTGCGGTTGTAACGTGTCAGCGGCTGTGCCACCGATGGGCAGATAGGTGAGCTCACCAGCATGAGGCCAATTGCGGGGAAACTTGAAGTCTTGGACGTTTCCGCTTCTCCTCCGCCTCATTCATTCCTCTGTGAGCTCTCCCAGAACTTCTTTTCAGTGCGAAAGAGTCCATCATGTAAACACAACTCCGTGTAATACTGTCTCGATCAAAATTGCCCAAATTGCTCAAAGATGTTCTCATCACTCACATCCCTCTCCCGCTTTGGCCGGGGCTTTGGCCGGAGCTCGTCCTCTTCCACCAAAGCAATTGCCATCCCTCCCGTCGAGGTCCATGACGTGGAAACCTCGGTGGACAAACGAGCGCGGACTGTCAAGCACCTGTTGAGACTGAACCATGCGAACTATTCTATCCTGTTCAATCATTTGAGGTTTCACAACCACACGCCTCATGTAGGAGCTTTCTTTCCCCCTGGAATTCCCGCATCTTGGCTTTTTCACCGTGAGAAGGGAACAACTCACTTTGTTCATCATAATAGATCCTCGGTTCTGCGTACCTCCTCTCGGCGTCCGCGGAACAGCTATTCGCCATCTACGATGACGCCGCTGCGCACGAAGGCCTCGAACCCTGGGTTGATTCGCCTTCGGAGATCGCCCTGCACGACTACCGCGACTATCTGGGCAAGCGTGAATACCAGCGCGCGTTCGTCGACTTCTTTGAGGACCAGCTCGTGCTCGCCGGGTACGATTGGAAACGCGTAGTCGAGAAGTTTCTGTTCGAGAGGGGAAACCCAAAGAAGGACGAGCCGAACGTGGAGCCGATCTTCAACTGCTTGACCGCTGGGCTGGGCCATCCGTTGATCCATCTCGGGTATGCGTACGAGCTGGATAGTAGAGAGGTTGCGATGGAGGCACTGGGGCTTGCGGCGACGTGTTACGACGAGACCCTCGCAAAGCTGCTCGAGACGGCGACGCCGGCGTCGCATTCGGCGAATCCGCTGACCTACTCGACGAATAACCTGTTCGAGGTCTTTGCCAGGGTCCACGGCGACAGCCGTCTCGACGGCGTGTTCAAGCACCCTGGCGGGGACAATCTCTCACACCTGCTGAGCGACGAGGCTCTGACCTCGATCCTGCTCGAACACTTTCACGCGTGGCAGATCGTGGACCCGACGAAGGACTTCGCACAGTCCCAGGCGTTCGCGACAGCTCTACTAATCGCCAGCGCGCCCAGCGTCGGCTGGACACACGGGTGGGACTTCTTCCTCGTGCACGTCCTGACGACGTCGCACGCCGTGCGGATTCTGATTCCCTTCCTCGACCCCAGCCACCACGTGCCCCTGGTGCGCCAATGGCTCCTCATCACCCTGGCAATCTACATCGCCCAACTCCGACCCTTGATCAAGATCGACTACATCACCGACGTCGACCTGCAGGGCCGCGACTGGGACACCTACATAACCCACGAGGCCGTAGAGGGCAAGTGGAAGTTCAGCGCGCACTTTGTCAAGGCGTGCCGCGCGATGCGCGAGGCCGAACGAGTCTGGGGCGGCGGTTACGCTGGTGACGACAAGTACTACCTCAAGGCCGCCGTCAAGTTGGCCAGCGAGTTCAATGACTGGGGCGGGTTTGGGGTCGAGGAGGGCGACGGAGAGGCGAGGAACACGAGTGGAGAGAGCGTCGAGGGGAAGGCTTGATCTTTCATTCATTCTCTCTTTCTCTCCTTTCTTTTGGGGGGGAGGGGGGATTTTGAAGAATTTTGCTATGTAATACATAACTGGCACGGACGATAACGGCCGTGCGATGCGACGGCGTGGGATGAAATGAAATGGCCTTGGAAAAAGGGGAAATTACCACCTTTCAATCTGGCGAGATCAGCACAAACTCACAGAAACAAACGAGACCTTCAGCTCGACTGGCTCTAGGTATTTAGTATTTACTATATACATTAATTGGTACGATCTATTGGAATACCCTGGAATACGTATCTAGGTACGGTCCCAACAGGGAGCGAGGGCCTCACGGGGCGGATTTCGCTCTCGACCGGCTTTCATGTCCGGCTTGATCGGCGGGCGTCCTCCGTCGCCAAGATATATGGGACATAATTAATGACTCCCTTTCCTCTATGTCGAGGCTGGGCTTTCGTTTTCGCCTTGTTTCCTTCCCTCTAGTACCTGGTTACTTCACCTGCGGTTCTTCAGAGCCAAGTACGTGACCGGTAATCTGCTTCATCAGCTCCTACCTCATATTTGGAACAAACCGCCAATCCGGCTCATGGACGCTGCGACGGCAAACGAGTCCGCAACCAAACGCTACGTGACCGGGGACAATGCTCGACATTTCGTCGCCGACGTCCTCCAGGGCAACGGCGTGTCCGAGGAGAATGCCAAGATCATAGCCAACTGTCTGATCCAGGCTGATCTGCGTGGGGTCGACACTCATGGCATGAACCGCATCCCGTCGTACATGGAACGCATTCGGCAGGGAGTGCTTGATCCCACTGCCCAGCCCATGTTCCACCGGGTCACCCCCGTGGTCGGACAAGTTGATGGTCAGAATGCGTTTGGATTCCTGTGCGCGCATCTGGGCATGAAGCATGCGATAGAGATCGCTCGCACGTATGGGATTGGAATGGTCAGTGTCAAGCATTCCAACCACTTTGGTATGTCTGCTTGGATCGTGCAGCAAGCCATCGACGCCGGGATGATGAGTCTAGTGTTTACAAACTCGAGCCCGGCGTTGCCAGTGTGGGGAGGTAAGGAGAAACTCATGGGCGTGAGCCCCATTGCTTGTGGTGCGCCTGCGGGCAAAGCGCCGCCGTTTATCCTTGACATGGCGCCCAGTGTTGCGGCCCGAGGGAAGATCTACAAAGCGAAACGGCGCGGAGAAAAAATCCCACTCGACTGGGCCTTGGATAAGGATGGGAAACAGACAGATGACCCAGAGGCGGCATTGGGAGGTGTTATGCTCCCCATGGGCGGCCCCAAGGGCTCCGGTCTCTCGATCATGATGGATGTCTTCTCCGGGGTGCTCTCTGGCAGTGCGTTTGCTGGCCATGTGACCAATCCGTACGACCCCAGCAAGCCTGCGGATACAGGACATTTTCTTATCGCCATCAAACCTGATCTGTTCATGGGTTTGGACGAGTTCAAGGACCGCATGGACTATCTGTACCAGCGGGTTGTGGGTTGTGAGAAGATGGCGGATGTAGGGAGGATTTTCTTCCCAGGTGAAATCGAACAGCTCATGGCTGCCGAGAGGATGAAGTCGGGGATTCCCTTGGTGGGAGCAGAGATTGAAGCATTGAATGCAGAGGCTGTAAGAGTAGGCAAACCGCAGCTCGTGCTTATGGAAAGTCAACCTAGTGCGTAGGATCCTGTCTCGCAGGGTAAGGATATCGGTGGCGCAGGCTGGATGGGATTCCCAGGGGCTGAAAAAAAATTGGATCTTGTTGCGGATGGGAATTTGGGGGCTCCATCTTTTCCCTCGGGCCTCGACTTGGTGACGACCCGCGACCCGAGCGCCCATCCCTCGCTCGCTCTTCGGTAATCGAGGTAGGCGAACAAGCCACTTTCATCATCTCGCATGTGGCACAGGGGCGAAGGGGCGCCAGAGGGGTCATTGATCCCGACTTCTGCTTGACCCAAGTCAGTCATCTCAAGAGTCAACTCGCTCATCTGGTACCGCTGGAAAGCTCAGCAGGAAGATCCCTCGGTAAAGCCTACCTAGACGGTTTCTCCCCCCCCTCCCTATCAGAGAGCCAGACCAAGACCAGGCAGACATAAGATTTGGACCAGAGAAGTCGTGGAGGCAGTAAAATGGTATGTAGGTTCGTCGGCGTAACGGGAGGTGGTGAACAAGGGCTACATGTGGAGCAGCCGGCCGGTCAGGAAATGAATTGCACCCAGTAGCGAGACAGACATTGCACGCAGGGGAGAGAGAGAGAGCATGGATGGCAGGGAGAGATCTTCCTGGAATCGGGGTTGGTGTCGTCGTGTTGGTGTTCCGCTCAGGCAACCTCCCACAGCTGCGGGCGTGGATCTCTTCCTACCTTGCTTCCCACGCACCAACTGCGACCTACAGTACCATCACTTGCAGCACTCCCATCGTTCGCCTGCGCCACACACACGAAGCACGAACCTGAACCTCGTGTATTCCTATCACGCTCGCCATCCTCACCTAGTTTCCGCGCCGATGTTGTATCTGCAGATCTTCCTTCAATTCCACCCTCCAACTGACCCTCCAAGACACACGGTAACGATAGGATAACCCTCCTCAGTCGCCACACTTCAAGCCGTGTCTCTTTGCAGACCTGTCGCGCATCGATTCATACCAATACCCCAACCCCTCCGGCCTCCGTCGTCCCTCTGCTCACATCTGAAAGCTCATATTCGATCGAATTTGCCTGTATCTGCTTCAACCTTCTTCACAGTCGACTGCGGATTGCCTTTTGTCGGCCTATTGTCTACGTCACTCTCATCGTTATCAGAGCCATCGGTATATCGGTTGATCGGAAAATCTGCTGAGGTTTGGAGGACAAGGTCTAATATATCCGACTTGGTCGCGACTTGATGAATAGGGAGACTCGAGGCAGCGGAAGTTGGTGAAACTCACCAATGTGCGAGTGTTCTAAACGTCTTGACCCATGTCCTGGCCGGCACACGTCGCTTGTGACTACCAACACAGGTGTCTAGACTCTAGGCGGCTCTTTGCCTCTGATCCGCGCACGAATCTGCCTTTGGCCACAAACCAACTTGCACCAAAATGTCGGACCCGGCT